GAGTCATTTTGCTAGGGCCTAGGCAGTCACTGAAGCCCCATCCTGGATTGGGGTTGGGGTTATGTGGAGGGAATGGGGCCTCTCCCTATCCTGATGGAGGGAAGGGGACAGATAGTTAAACAACGCAGTATATTAGAGCGGTGACCACAAGGTACGTAATGTCTCTGAGCCTTGGCTTCCTCATCGGTGAAGTAGGAATAGGGGGTTGTGAAGAGCAAATGAAAAGTTTTCCACACAGTACCTGGTGCGCTTTAACAGCGAGTAAGTAGTAGCTGCTATAAGTATGAAGGACTGTGGGAAGAGGGGCGAGCAGGAGATTTCACAGAGGAGGTGGCATTTAAAGGAGCTGGGAGTTTTTATCTCTTAGAACAGCAGAAAGAGGTGGCAGCTTGTCACCTTCTCCCAATTTGGGGAAGCGTGCTACAAGGATATGAGATTGTAGGTCTTGCACCTGGCCCCTGGAGGCAGTGGTGGGGCCAGTGAGCCTAAGTTTCAGGAAGCAAAATTTGGGTTGAACACAGGAAAACTTTCAGGTTGACACAACTCCCTATCTCTGAGAGGATTCATAGGCTGTTCAGTCTGGAGCCCAGAGAGGACAGGGACAGACACAGGAAGGGATGGAGGCAGGGCCCAGAAAGGCTAGGGTCTGGCCCAGCTGCCCCAGACTCAGGAAGGAACCTGCCCAAAGCAGCACAGTCAGCCTGAAACTGAGTTGAGACCCAAACCTCTGAATCTCAGCCCAGTACTCTGCAGCTGAGACCCTGAGTGGTTCTAGCTCTGCCACTCCCTGTCTGAGTGACTGTGGGCCAGTCATTGACTGCCCTGAGCTCTGGGCCCCGAAGCAGATGACAGAGACATCGACACCTCTTGGGACCATCAGGGTATATGATATTGTGTTTGTAAAACATGTAGCAAGAGGCCTTGCACAGGTCTATATATGGCTATGATTGTGACTCATCCACAACAAAGCCGTAAACTCAAACGCCTGCAGGGGCTGGGCAGGCACTATTGGTGAACCAAATGGGCTGAGAATGATGGGAATGAGCGGGGCAACTGCTATTCTGCTAGCAATCTGCCATGCAGCTCTGACACTGCTGGGATGTGGCTACTATGCTCTGGTACAGTGGTTAAATATTTAAAATTTCGCCCTGGTGAGGGCCTGGGTTGCCCCAATCACTCTGTTTTCCTGAAGAAGCCTGAAATGTAAAATGGATTGAATTTTAAGTTTTTCTAACTTCTGCTCTGTTCATTCTGAGGAAATAGTGGGAAGTAATGGGTTCAGGCCTCTCCCAGCACTAAGCTTCTGGGAGATCTTTTACAGCCCTAGCCCCCACTGACCTTACCTGCCTGCCAACAGTCATGACTTGTGCTGACCCTGGTGAGATCACCAATGGGCATCGTACCACCTCAGACGCTGGCTTCCCTGTTGGCTCCCATGTCCAGTACCGCTGTCTGCCAGGGTACAGCCTGGAGGGGGCGTCTGTACTCACCTGCTACAGCCGGGACACAGGCACGCCCAAGTGGAGTGACCGGGTCCCCAAATGCGCCTGTGAGTCTGGGGACACCTGGGAAGGGTAGCTGGGTGGCCTGCTAGCAGTGCAGCTGGCACATGACTGACATGTTCCCCGCAGTGAAGTACGAGCCGTGCCTGAACCCCGGGGTGCCAGAGAATGGCTATCAGACGTTGTATAAGCATCACTACCAGGCGGGCGAGTCTCTGCGCTTCTTCTGCTATGAAGGCTTTGAGCTCATTGGCGAGGTCACCATCACCTGTGTGCCTGGTCACCCCTCACAGTGGACCAGCCAACCCCCACTCTGCAAAGGTGCCTGGGCAGACAGGGCAGGAGGGGGTGCACAGCAGTGTCTGTGGAGTGACAGGGCCAAGAAATTCAGGTAGCATATTTGAGACCAATGGTAACCTTGCCAAGCTCCCCAATCACCTCCCATGGGTTCTCATCCTCATGGGTATATCCAGAAGTCCTGGAGAAGTTCAAGGTCATGGAATTATCCTAAGGGATGTAGTAGAAGGGGCTTTGGTTTGGAAGTCCCTTGCCCTCTGGATAAGTCTGTTTCTCTATTTTTGACAAATTCTACAGACCTAATTGATTTAGACTGCCTAGAGTTAGGAATCCTGAACTTTTAGGGATCTGCAGAAGGAGAAAGAAGGCCCTGCCCTGACTCTTCCTCCCCTGACCTCACCAAGGGAAGGATAAAGTTTAGGTTATGCAGAGGGCAGAGAGAACCAGGCTATCCAGCCCAGCCCCACTGGGCTCCCAGCCCTCTACCCAGCCTCCTTCCCTCCCTGGCTCAGACCCCGTCCCCTCCCCCTCCTCTCCCTGCAGTGGCCTATGAGGAGCTCCAGGACAACCGAAAACTGGAAGGTCAGTGAGGGCACAGGTGGAGACCCAGGCATGGCCGAATCGGGAGGGCAAGGCAGAGGCTGGGGGCAGGAGGCCTGGCCCCAGAGGGGTGAGGCCCAGGGTTCAGGGCCCAGCCCCAGCTCACTGGCCTCTCCTCCTCCCCCCAGTGACCCAGACCACAGACCCATCACGGCAGCTGGAGGGTGGGAACCTCGCCTTGGCTATTCTGCTGCCCCTAGGCTTGGTAATTGTCCTCGGCAGTGGTGTTTACATATACTACACCAAGTAAGTACCATACTCAGGGAGCTGCTGGCCAGGGCAGACATCCTGCCTGCCTGGTACAGCCTGGGTGAGGCGGGGTTGGGAGCTCACTTCTTGATAAGCCTCTCTATCTCCTCCCTTTCCAGGCTGCAGGGAAAATCTCTCTTTGGCTTCTCAGGCTCTCATTCCTACAGTCCCATCACTGTGGAATCAGACTTCAGCAATCCACTCTATGAAGCTGGGGTGAGTCTTTCCCCTACCCCTGGAGCGCCACATCTCTAAGCTTCCCCAGGACTCCATAACCTTCTCTCAAGGTCTCTGTAATATCTGTCTTGAGAATTTCAGAGGCCACATCAATGAACAAAGCAAGTCAGGTGTAAATAACAGGGAGTGGTGAGGACTATGGCTAATTGAATTTTTGCCCCATCCAGTTTATAGTAGAAATAGGCCCAAGCGACATTGTTCAAGACAATCCAGAAATTCAGATTTTTATCTGATTTTAAGATACTGTAGGATGAACCAAACATATCCGTTGGCCAGATTCAGCCCCATTCTCACTTCCTGGCTCCGAAACCACTAGTGATATCACTTTAAAAACCTAGTCTTTCTCCTTCCTTGTGGACTCTCCCATGTGGCTGCCTCCTCCATCCCCACTCCACTCCAGCAACTGATTCCATCTCTCTGTCTCCAGGATACACGGGAGTATGAAGTCTCCATCTGAACCCCAAGACTAAGGCTGCAGGACCCAAGACGCCCCTCCCCTCCTCATTCTGGGCAGGGGGGAGTACAGGACCTAGTCCCTGGCTCCTTTCCTCCCTACTGTGTAAATAGTCTCCTGGTCCCATGAGGGGGCTTTGATGGCCCTGGGGACCCTAGAGTAAATAAACCAGCATCCTGCCGCCCAAAGCCTCCTCTTCTCAGTTGCCAAACAAAGGGCCTACCCCCCCCCCCCCCCTTACTGGCTTTTGGACCCTGGCAGAACTCAGCTTCCCTTCAACTCCTGGACCCCTCCAGCCCAGGGTACCCCACAAGGACTGCCCCTGAGAGGTCTGCTGTTCCCTTGGCCATGAAGGCTCTGGCCCCAGGCCTTAACCCCTGGGCCTTGGAGGGTCAGAAGACGATGGATGAAATGGAGAGCGGAGACAAAGCCCTTACCCCCTTCCTGCCGTCTCCTCAACCCACAATCTCTCCACTTTTGCTTCTGGATTTTTGTTTTTGAGCAATAAACAGAAAATCACCATTTGCAACTGGGCTGGTGGGGGATGGGAAGGTAGGTCACCAAGTGTTGGAGATGTGGTGGCGGCCTCTCTGGAGGGCTTGGGAAAGGGGAACAATTTGGAAAAATGATGGCAATATCAAGGGATCAAAAAGCCTCTGTGGAGGACTGCCTGGGACAAGATCCCTCTGAGCCTCAGCTGTCTCTCCAGCATGACATTTCTAGCCACCTCTCCTCTGGCCTCGTTATTTGGCAGGAAGCAAATAGCTCTCAATTTGTTTCATGACCAGATTACCTAAAATTCAACCCCCTTTAGAGAATTTTTGTATCTATCCAGGTGTACCATCTTTTTATCCCCCCAACCTTTTTGGCATTAAAGTGTATCTGCCGTTGCAGGTCTACCAAGTATTGGTCACATTTGCAGTGTTTCAAAAACAATGAGCTTGTTTTATATCCTATAAGTGTCCTTTTCTACTTTATATACTTTTGAACATTACAAAGAATTTATAGCCTGTTTGTCTAAAGAGTTTTTTCTCCGAATTGAACTTTACTTAGTTAAAAATTTATATTTAAATACAATTAAACATTCAGGATACTCAAAAGGATACTGAAATACTCAAAAGGGGGTTAGATTTTAGGAGAACATGAGGCAAATTGGTCTTGATAAGTCTGTTTAGAGGCATTCTGTGCCAGGCATTGTGCTAAGCACTTTGTATGCATTATGTTTTTAACTCTCACAAGGATCCTGTGAGGCAGAGACAATATTCCCATTTTCGGATAAGGAAACAGGCTCAGAAATGTGAACTGACTTCCTTAGGAAGCTACAAATAAGTAGCCAGACTGGGATGTAAATGCAAACTCCACAAAACCTATCTATGGCACTGCCTTCTGGCTAGTAATGGACATGATATAGTTCCATAGGCATGAGACCCCAAAGCAGAGGGGAGACCTCGGCACTGATGTTGGTGGCAGAAATGGCACCTCAGAAGCAAGGGTGGACACTCTCAGATACCAAAGGCCTAGACCTTAAGGTGCTGAAATGTGGCTAGGAGGCTGGGTTGGGGTCCATGAGGTCACCTCTGCCAGCAGGTTGATTCATAACTGCGGGGGGAAGGACACTTCTCCTGCCTTTCCATGCCAGAGAAATCACACCAGAGCACTGCTTGAGTTGGGAGGAGGGAAGGATCTCTGTCTCTTTATTAAAGCCTTGGATTTCTGGTGGTATCTTTGCCAGCTGAGGGTAAAAAGGTGTGTGATGGTTTCAGAACACTTTGGAGGCTTCAGAGGTGATGCTGCTCATGACCAGGAGTCCTCGCCCAAACTGAAGTGATTAGTAAATTGTCAAAGAGGAGCTCTGAAGCATGTTCTAAAGATATAGGATTGGGGAGTGCATGAGAGGCCAAGAGCAGCACCAAAGAGGGTGGGGATCATCCTCCAGATGTCAAGCTGCTAGGCAGAGCTCCCTAGAAGAGAAAAAGAGCCTTTGACTCTTTAGACCCAAGGCTTATATCTTTTTATCCTTCCACCCTTCATCTATCCAACCAACCCCTATCCCCAACCCATCTATTTATCAATTTACCGTTTTCCATCTATCCATCTATCTATCCATCCACACATCTACCCACCATTCCCCGTCCATCTATTCCTCATTCATCCACCACTCACTCATCTACCATCTAATCATTCACACACACCACCCTCCCCACTTAAACTTCTTGAAGGCAGGGACTCTATTTTGTTCACTTCTATACTCCAGCCACTAGAGCAGTGCTGGTATATAGTAAGTGCTTATTAAACATTTATCTATCTATTCATTTGCCCATTTATCTACCCCCCCCCCAATCTAGTCACGCATTCCCCATCCAATATTTTTGACCGCCTACAATGCCCTACAATTCAAGGGGCAATTCAAAGAGCTGTAAGTTTCCATGTTCTTTCTTGAGAAGAGGAAGGAAAAGTTTCTGGGGTCTAGAGGGGCTGGCAGGTGGATGAGG